CTTACCAAGCCATCTCTCCAGCTCCTGGATCTTCTGTATTTGAAAGAGACCCCCCTCCTTTCTTAACCACACACGTCCTCCGGCTTATCAGCCAGTCACATGCATCAGTTCCCTTGTCTTCTTAGGAATAAAGATGCAATCTTCCAAGCTTCTTGGAAAAAGCGCTGCCCAGAGTTAGGCCTCTCACCTCCAGCCTAGGCTAAGTCCGTGTCAGCTGGCCTTCACATACTGATCTACAGTTCTGTTGTCGGCATCCTGAGGGTGCTCAAGGAGTGCAAGAGTAAACAGCACAGAGAGATGAGACCGTACATGCCAGAAAATCTACAATCCTTGCTCCAGAGGGACGGAGCCCAATGGGAAGACAAGCATGGCTGGAGCAACAAACTGCGAATTCACTATGGACTGTAACTAATGAGCCAGAAAAGCAGGGTGCATTTGCTATGAAGAAAATAATCATGGAAAAGGCCAATTAATAAAGAGAAGTTGTCAAGCTCCGTGGTAATTTTCATTATAACATTTTATTAGGCACAAGTTGATATTGATATTTTTTCAAGGAGGATTGCAATAAATTTCTCCACTAACTATATTCTTAATCCAGATGCCAGACCTTGACGTTGTCTTCCCTCTGACTTGAATCTTCCAGGAGTTTAGAAATCAACACTGCTGATTTCAGATACAGGTACTGTGCAGGTGTTTATGGAGTAACTTTACTTCCGATAATTTGGTCAAGGGAGCAAACATTCTATCTATGAAAGTTAAGTGTGTTCTAAATGACATAAAAATCTCAGTTCTTCAGATAAGGTTTTTCTGAGGTGTCAGATTAGCAGGGGGAGAGTTGACAGTGCTGTCAAAGCAAAACCCTAGAGTAAGGGCAGTGAGAGATTTCCCCATGCCCCTGGTCATAGTATCCCAGAGCTTCTGGGCCCCTTAAAAACTTAGAGATGGAAGCCTCGGAGACAGCAACCCGGAGTACAAACAGACCAGGAAAGTTATGAAGACCTCCCTAGAGATGCCAGCCTAGGGACTGGTTGGAACCGTACTCAGTCCCAGGCACACTGACAAAGCCCCCCTGACAGTCCCACTGCCAAAGCCAGGCCCCCAGGGCTAAGGGACACAGCCACAGGAACCTACTCACTTAGGCTCTTTAACTGCCATGTCCCAATGGGGAAGTCATATTGAATTCCTTCTCCCTAGATCCTATTTCTGCTCTCAGGGTTTGGCTATGACTTAATGCACAAAAATATGCTTCTATCTTTGTGCTACAAAAATTGAGGCACTTTTCTTGGGGGACAGATGACAAAGGAAAATGACCAGCATTCCTGAGTTCTGGGATACCTCACTCTCAAATGGAGAATCTCGGGGAACCGAAGTTCTCCGATGAGACTATAGGATGGAGGGGCTGGTGTCATTATGAGCCTAACCCGTGGTAACAGATCATCTAGTCTGGCTCAGATTGGCTAAATGCAACACGGCCAAGTATTTCAGGCCAGTTCTATCTACTGTCTTCTCAATCTGCTGGACACATATGTATGTGTGCACGTGCCTATATGGATTTGTGTTTGTGTGTGTGTGTGTGTATGACACAAATATTTGTGTGCCTGAATGTGTATGTGTGTATATGTTACTATATAATGGAATGGAATGTGGTGATATACACATATACAACTTTTTTTTGTTTCCTGACTATATCATAGGAATAAAATTCTCTTAACTACTCTGTTTCTTAAACATCAGCTACTCTCTTTGTGTTTGTGTGTGCACATGTATGTACACATACATGCATGTGCATACACGCACATGTGATCCTTACTATTACCAACACAAATTAGACAGAACAGATGGTTAACGGTGTAATTCTCTTTACACTGGAACAGTTATTACAGCATTACTCTATTTTCATTACCACTGAATATTAGCTTCCAAGATATTTGAATGAAGAAATAAAACCACCAAATAACAGTGCCAATTAATTCCAGAAAAGTCACACAGTGTATCAAACCCAAAACATTCTGGTAGAAAGATGGGATTCTGCTCTCCCTTCACCTCCTTGAGCACACTATGCCTCTGCCTCCTCTGTCCTTTGACCTATCCTAGTCCAGTTGCAAGCAAAATCAACAGAAGACCCTTGGCAAGTGGAATTGAATCTGCAAGAAAAGATACTATACTCCATGGGCACACCCTCTGCTCCTGCTAAGACTGCCTTCCTGGGTTTGCCCAGTGTCACCGTGGTACCTCTCACTCTTTCTCGGGCTGCTCGCTCATCAACTGTGATGCTGTAACATGACTGCAAACAGGTTGTGAGTCCTTGAGAGTATTGCTTGCAAAGTGCATGGAAATGATTAGATTAGAATTTAAAGATTCAGCAGTCAGTCACAGAGTGGAACATTACAAAAGAACAAGCTGAATGGAACCCTTGCAGACAGGAAGGAGACAGTGAGTAAAGGGGAGGGGACGGTGAGGAATTAATGAGACGTGAAGCAACAGACATCATCAGAGGATGGCCAGCGGGAAGGATGGAGCTCTCCTAGCTGGGTGCCTGGAGCAGGGCAAAAGCCATGGGGAGAATGGGGGTGCCGGGAGGAAACGGGTAGGCATGGACTTGCTTGTAGTTCAGAAGAACATCTGGGAGGTAACATCAGAGAACCCTAACCATTAGGGGAAGAGGCTCAATCCAGTCACGTGTCCTCTCTTGGCAGGTCCAGCCCATGGTGGGCCAGCTGAATGACAGGGGCTGGCTCGAGGCCAGAAAGAGAACTGGCCTAAGGTGTCAGGATCGCCACTGAAGCCCCTGGATTCATGCCCATTTCACAGAACCACAGAACCAAGCAGGGAATGCTCCAGGCAAAGGGAGCGGAGGTGCAAGGGGACCGACCAGCACGGTGTTGGCCACCATCATCACCACCACGAGAGCCACACACACTGCTCCCCAGATTTGCTGGCAGGCACTTGACAAGCAATATCACAAGATCATCCCAGCAAGGCTGACGACAACATTCTCCCCAGTTTTCAGCTTACTGAACTTACCCAGGACATAGCCCAGGGCACACCTGCTGCACCTTCACTCTGCCACTCACTTCACAGGCTCACAACAAACCAGGTACATGTACTCTGTCTGAAAATGTGAGTGTTTGAAATGATCAAGACTGGATCAGCCCTGAGGGTGGGATGGAGGGAAATGATGGATCCAAGACAGGCAGCTATGGAACAAATGAGAACAGCTGGGACCAAACCTTACCAAAGCACAAGAAGACTGAAGATGGGCATGCAGTTGCAGAGCTCTGAGCTGGTTAACTGGGGAAGCAGGTACTTTGCAGGGCAACATGGGAAGTGATATCGGAGAAACTAATCAGGATCTACTTTATCTAAGACACTGTAAAGGGGTAAACATATAAGCTGTGTTCTGGGTCATGTGGAGGACAGGCTCACAGAGAGGAAACAACCCTAGAAGATGAAGAAAGCCTTTGAGGAACTGGGAGAAGAGGTCACGTGATGGCTGAATGAACTCTTGGTCCATGCGACCAATATCTGTGAAAAACAGGGATCTTGGGAACTGCAGGGGTGAAAGGGTGGATGTTATCTGGTCCCATACCGATCATAGAGGGTCTGAGAAGAAGAGAGGAGACACAGGACAGGGAAAGGGGCAGGAGGACCAAAGAGGAAAGCCATCTAAGACATAGAGGTCAAACATGCCAAGTGGAAAACCATCCGAAGCCTCCAGCGTGAGGTAAGAGTGAGATGCACGTGCAGCAGACTGGACCGTTCAGCAGGGCAGGAATCCAGCTTCCCTGTTACCTCTTCAGAGCCCAACACAGTGCCCGACACAGAAAAAGTTCCTGGGAAGTATTTGTTGAATTAAAGAAATGCTGCCCTAGGGGCTGTGGTTCAATTCCCTGCGCCCACATGGTGGATCACACCTGTCCATAACTCGAGTGGATTGGATGCCCTACTCCAGACACCACACACACATGTGGTACCCAGATATACATGCAGAGGAAACATTCATATGCACAAACTAAAGAAATGCTACCCGGTGCTTTGACACAAGTATGTCTGCTCTAAGGCACATGGGGAAAACCCAGATTTTGTATTCCCAGCCAGTCTAAGGCAGATGCACTCATACACGTAATAGGGTAATAACAAGTATATGCTTAAAATGGCATCAAGCTATGGCACGATTATAATAATGAGTATTTACATTATTTGTCTTCTCCCAGATCTCTATGAGCAGCACCTGGAGCTCCATTTGAGTAACCCCGAAAATTCCTTTCCCCTCGATCCCATGCCAAAGCCCCAGGCAAGGACAGATCTCTCGATATTTGTAAGGAACATCTCCTAAATACACAATAAAGCTAATTCTAAGTGCTATGATGTGTATTTTAAGTGAGAGAACAAAAATAACAGCGAAGCTCAGATAAATAGAAACCCTTTATGTGAAAAGCTTTTTTCTGTGTGCACACATGTACATATGTGTATGCATAGCCATGTGTGCATGCGTATTCCTGCACACATACATGAGTGCGTGTGTGCACGCACGTGCAAACAAACTGGCTTAAATTTGCTTATTTCACTGGACAGCAGGCTGTAAGTATTTCAAGGGCCAAGGAGTTCCCAAACCTGAACCTCCTAAATCAGGCTGAATGTCCCTTGGATGGAAAGTGACCATCAAAAGGCCCTACTCTTTTGAAGAGTAAATCTGAATGACTCCGACACATCATAAAATTCTATCTTAGACCCTAAGTTCAGAACCAGACCCTTCAATTCACGTCCAGTTTCACAACACACCATGTATTTTTAGAAGAAAAAAAAAGATTTATTTTTTTTCTACTACAAAAATTGTACATTCATACATAATTCAGGAACCTCAGAAAAGATTAAAACAAAACAGACAATCCCACCATCTTTACCTTATCATTTTATTATTTCATTTTAGTGTGTAGTACCAAGTTCATTGACTGATATAATTGTATTTCGTATGTATGAATACACATTAATTCACGTGCTATAACATTTTACATAAAAATGATACAGTTCTCTGTAGGCTGCGGGGAACAATGTTATTTTTCATTTGGAACAAATCATAAACTTCCTTGTCTTAAGAACACCCAAATTCCACCCTCACCCCCGTTGAGACTGTCAGGGAGGAGCTGGGCTAGAGAGCTCTAGGGATACCCTTCTCACGATAATATTTTGACTAACAAAACAGGGGTAGCTGCAGAAAGCGAGTGCGCATCTATGCCTCAGGTACAGCCCCACACTCAGGTCCGAAGGAAAACTTGAGAATGTTCAGGAAGTCTCTCAGCGTGGCTTGCATTCTCCCGGTGGCTCTGTGGGGTCTTGAGAAATCTCACTGAATCCGTCACTCCCAGCGCTCCCACCTCTGAGACTGTGACATGATCAACTGTCTGGGTTAAGGGCTCGGGTTCTGCACACCGCTGAGGTTCTCACATCCTGTCCATGTGCACTCACCCCAATTGGGAGAAGCAGAGTGAAGGAATATAAATTAGCAATTCCATACTTGTCACCTCAGCCAGTCACTCCAAGCACCGTCAGAGGAATCATTTTTGATGATCAAATTATTTATCTGGCTTGGCTTTTCCCGATACTTCATTACCTGGACAACAGAGAGTTATGGGCAGATCATCCTCCCGGCTGCCCTACACTTTTAGAGAGACTATCCTAGGCACACCACTATCCCTGTGGAGCACAGACTGGATCATGACCTTTTCAGCATCCTCAGGTTTCCCAACTGGAAAATGAAAAATGAAAAATGAAAAGAGATGCAGTTGATTGAAGAGGTCTCAGGCCCAGGAAGCGTACGTGGTTCCTCTGTGACTGGGTGTCTCAAGATCCGCTTACATCCACTCGCTTTTTCCTGTCCGTGACTGCCGTGACTCCTAGGGGATGATAGAGGCTCTCTGCTTCTGGAAGCTCAGGATCACATCTGGCTGCCTTTTCTCCGCCTTTGTCCATTTCTCTAGAACTAATTGGAAGAGTCAATAAGCGCACACACCAATTCCTGTGAGGCTCCAGGAAGCCGATCTCTCTGCCCTCCAGAGCGACTCTTGCTGTCTGTTTTTCTGAGTATTCCCATACCTGCCTTTGTCAGTTGGCATTCCCAGCAAGTTAGCCATCACTTCTCAAAGTGTCAAATGTGCCTCTTTTCATTGTCCTTGTTAAAGATAATTTAACAATTCAGAGTCAATGCCGACTTCTTTCTCTTCGGCACACAGCGTCTCTGCCCCGCCTTCATCCACAGCCCCCAATTCCCAGCCGCAAATGGGCAACCCTTCTCACCTTTCCTTTCCCCTTATTCACCGGTCTTTTCCCACCCACAAAAATACCTCACCCAGTGAGACACACTTTAGCTTGTGGGTTCTCGTTCCTTCGCTTCGGCGAGACATGTCTGTGCTTAGAGACTGTAAAGTCACCTTCAGGAAAGAAGCATATAGCATAGGCTGTCAATTAATCAGAACAAGGCAAGGGAAATGGCGTCATGCGCAACTCGCGTCCTGCTACATATATTTATGCTTAGGGGAGATCAAGGTGATTTCTGGTACACAACTGAAAATTCAGAGCTGTGCCTTTTGTTGGCCTACAAGCCCAACACCTAACTCCACACACAAGAGTTAACAGCCCAGAATGCCGAAGACAGGTGTAGTGTGCCTCATTCTGCATTCAAACTCCGGCCTCTAGGTTTTTTGCCTCCCCCCCCCATTTTCTGGAAATTTCATCTCTACTCTTTGCAAGCTCCCTGTTTATCCTCGGCGATATTCTTTGCCTGTAAAACAAGTCAGCTGATTTTCCTATTCTATAATTTCTAGTCCCATATCAAGTTTGACAGATGGATTTTTTTCAGCCTGCTTCTCTTTCCCCTAGTGAAGCACAGACTCACACGTCACCATTCCTGTCACGTGTACAATTCCATCAAGTTTCAGAGTGTCATTTATACACAATTTTATTTCTTCTTCTTTCACACACGCCTACCACTTACGTACAGCAACTCACTATATTCATATTTCATAAACTCCATCGGTGTTCAGTAAAATCCTCCCCCCGAAGTAAGCTAGGTATTTTTAACAGTGCAAACCTCTTTCCCCGGCTTGAGGATCCGGCACTAAGTGGTGCCCTTTCCTCGTATCTTGGAGGACATCGTCTACTATGACCGCTGCCTGCATGTAGAAACTTCGTTCTTACTTCAGTTAAGGCAATTTGTATCCCAAGTGCCAACACCCAGTGACAGAGCTAAGACGACTCCACCTGAGAGGAAATACAGCCTGCGTATCATGACGCTTCTGTCTCACTCCCAGGGGAAAATGGACAGAAATTCCCCGAGATAGCTCCGGGTTCTCCTCCATCTTTGAAGGTGTGAGCAACCTACACTCTGAGCATCCACGAGTACAGGACTTCCCGGGAAGTCACGGGGATCCAAGTTTTGTAGATAAACATGTCACCAGGAAGCCACAGTGCCTCTGCTATCATTAATGCACCATCTCCTGTGACATGGTGGCACAGTTTATAATAATGTCATGTCATTTCATAAAAAATCTTTCAGGAGGGAACTGTTCCTCCATCAATGGGGGATTTTCCCCTGTAATTCCTTCTGTTGAGGGAGCGACTGTTCCTCTATCAATGGGGGATTTTTTCCTGGACAGCAGCAGCATGGAAAAGCTGGGGTCGAAAGCCAGTTTCACCACAATGAGTTGCGCTGCCTTCATCCTTCACAGTACCCTCCTCATCAATTATAACAACTTCTTCAAACAATCCCCTTGATGCCCTTACTAAACAAATCATCCATTAGTACAAATGATGAGGATGATGGGGGTATCATAACGCCAGGAATCCAAACCCAGTGCCATCAGAGGCTGCAGAAGATTATAATGACGAACATTAACTTGTCTGACAGTGCTGAGGGAGCCAGCTCTGTCATCCGGAAATGCCTCCCAAAGGCCACAGTTAGGAAAGGACTTCCTCCTCGGGTCTCTAAATGTTCTTTCCTACATGCTTGACCCTTGTCTCTTCCTAACCTTCCAGGTGCAGGAGACCCCTACCAAAGAGGTGCTCCCAGCATCCCCAAAGGAATGGTTAAGTTAGGGGTGATTTCCCTCCTATTGCATGAGAGGAAGCCACATGACAGGCCTCCTAAACAGAACTACCTCCCTGGATACTTCAGGATTTTGCATCTTCTATAATTCCAAAGCAGTGGTTCTCAAACTGTCGGTCACAACCTCTTTGGGGCTGCATGTCAGATATCTTCCATATCAAATATTTACAGTAGGGTTCATAACAGTAATAAAACTACAGTTAAAAAGTATCAACAAAACTGATTTTATGGTTGGGGTCATTACAACATGCAGAACTATGTTAAAGGGTCCCAGTGTTAAGGAGGCTGAGAAGCAGTACTCCGTGGAAAGAAGGAAGAAGACTTGAGCAGACAGCTGTTACCCGAACACTCAGGAGGCCCAGACAGGAGGATCTCCCCGAGACCCTGTCTCAAAGAAGCAAACAAACAAACAGAAAGATTTTAGATTCTGGTTGACAATTTCCTGTAAGCAAAACCCTCCACTAACCCGGAACAACTAATTAAATTTCTGACTTGCTACTTGCAACACAGAAAACAAGGAAGCCAACAGTTCTGCTATGGATTTCACAGAAAGAAAAAAGAAACAATTTCCAGGTGGGATCAAGACAGACGGCGGCCAATCCCCCCAGTCCCCGATAGCAGCTCCATTTTCAGTTCTGTAATGTACAATCAGAATTCATGCTCAGGACCGTGACCCCACAGCACTGGAAGACTCCGAAACTCCAAGGAAAGATTCAATTACCTTCCTGACGCGCTCGCTAGGCTAGGAGAGGGAGCCACACAGCTAAAAAACTTACTCAAAAAGGAAAAGACAAAACAGAAAACAAAAAAACAAAAGAAAATGCATGGGGCTAATCTAGTGTCTGACAGAAAAATCAATTCATTGGCAAAGTCTTGGTGCCCTCAGAGAAAGAAAAAAAAAACATGGCTTATTATACAGCCGCCAAGACTTGGCCAATGACCATCTGGGTTATTTTTAAGCATTAACCTACAAATTACACAAGTATAATAGTAAATAGTATATTAGTAAATAGCCTAAAATATGGTTGAAAAGTTTTAACAGCTTAATTCTAACCAACATTTCATGATAAATTAGGCATAAAATAAATATACAAGAGAAAAACAGAGAGGAGGGCGGGAGAGAGAGGGAGGGAGAGAAAGAGAGAGGAAAAAGGAGGAAGGAAGAGGCCACCAACCCAAATCCAGAGCAAGGGAGATATTTGGACTTGGGAACGTGCTCTGCTATCGAGGTTAGTGTACGCCCTAGTAGCCGAAGCCCTTTCAAGTGATACCCTTTGCTCTAGGAGAATTCATAATTCACCCTGACGGGTGAATCAGGGATCTCCATGAGGGAGTGAAAGGGACCTCCTTCAGAGACCTGCACATCATCTCAAAGATGACTTAGAGAGTGAGGGGAAGAAGATGTTATATTAGGACACACACACTCATACACACACACACACACACACACACTCACATACACACAAACACTCCTACCTCTAACATGCAGCATTGTATTTTGCCTCCTGAGACTCAGAAGTATCCACAGAAGCTAAGATATAACATGGAGATCAGAGTGGGGAGAGGCATGGGAAAAGGAGATCTCTGAAAAACTAACATATGCTGTAAAACATCACAGGACATGGGGGCTAGGGAGCTGGCTCAGTTGGTTAAAACATCCAGAACCCACATACAAAAGCCAGATGTGGAAACACACACCTGTAATCCCAACACAGGGAAGGCTGAAACAGGAGGATTCCTGAGGCTCACTGGTCAGCCAGCCTAGCAGAATCATGGAACTGTAAGTCCAGTGAAAGACCCTATCTCAAAAAATAAATAGAGGGCAATTTAGGAAGACATCTGACATTGACCTCTGACCCCACATGCACACACAGTAGCATTTTACAAATGGGGTCCATGTTATGTGAATATAGTGGCCATTAACATCCAACCCAGTGAGTCTTTCCAAGGCCACACAAGTTCCTAAAAGCAAAATGGAAACTTTAGAGAAAAAAAATGTACCCCCTTTACCTGACACTGAACAGAGAAGGGCCCATGCAGACTTGCATACCAAGGGTTAACTTTAGACATAGGTGGCTTTGTTTGCAAACGTAATGAGCTCTCTCCACAAGTTCCCGGGACATTTTCAGCCATAGGCACAACTCTGGCTATTAACATCCTTGCACCTCTCTATCCCATGTTCAGCCTGCCTGACATCAAGGGGAGTACTGTGCCCTGCCCCCCCCAAACACACACACACACACACACACACACACACACACACACGTCCTGAACAGTCAAGGGGAGAAGCGGCATCAGAGCCCAGCTCCTGGACAGGCATCAACCACACTTCAGAGTCAGAAGAAGACATTTCGAAAGCTCAGGGCTCTTCACAATGCCAGTGGGTTTTGGAAAGCAGAGGAAGGGTGTGCTATCAGTGTTTTAGCCACCCGGGGCTTAGATTCTAGATTAATAATTCAATTCTTTATAAGAAATTAGGAGGAAGCAACATGAAGGTTATCCTAACTATCATAAAATGCATTTCTAACATCATTCCATTGCATTTTAAAGGGTATAATTATAAATGTTTTTTATGAGCAATTTACCAGAAAATTAAAGTCCCTTAGTGTGTGTGTGTGTGTGTGTGTGTGTGTGTGTGTGTGTGTGTGTGTATATCATCCTATCTCACCGAGAAAGGGTTTTTCTCCCAGCCAGGGAAACTATTGTTTATTCGCTGAAGAGAACAAGGACCATGCCCGCAAAGGTGATCCGAAAATTCATCTCCAGAAAAGATGCCATATTGCTAGGTAAGAGAACCTTCTAGAAAGTGAATCAGCAGGGACTGGTGAGGAGAGGGGAGGGGATGCACTCCCCAAGTGGAGGAGAGATGCAGTTCTCACTGCATTCCTCCAGGTTGCAGAGCAGTGCAGGCCCTGATAATTGATTTTTAAGTCACTCTTAGCTGAGCTTCCAGGGGGTTGTCCCTCAGTCCCACCCCAGCTTTTCAGCATTCACCCCATCCTTTGGTTTCGATTTTTCTCTTGAGTTGGCCAGCCCTATAAGCCTTGTACACCAGCACTGCGAACCCACTCCACAGGTACACAGTCCGGTGAGGGTAACTAGTCGTGGAGTACAATATGTAAGCTTCTAGCGTGCATAGAATACAGAGATTCTGGGAAAGGGCTTCTAACACCAGTTATACCACGCTGCTCACAGATCCCAAAAGTCCCCCAAAGCCTTGTGAACTTAAAGCTTCACAGTAGTTTTATGTCCCCACTTCACTCTTACTCGCCCTCCTGCTTCTTGCCTGTCTTTTATTTTCTTCCACCGCTTTCCCATGGTGCAGGAAAGATGGAGCTGAATGAGACCAGTCATCATTAATACTTTCTAGAACATGGAAGGGTTTCATTAAGACCGTGACCATTCCCTTGGAGTTGGAAGGAGCACTGGGAGATCAACTTCCAGATTATAAAACCACACATCTGATTTTGAAAGTCCAGGCACGGAAGGCCTCTAATCCGTTCATACTTAGATTCCCAGGACAGAGGAATTTAACAACAGCCTCAAATCTACCCAGGTAATTTCTCATGAGGTCGCATCAATGTCACGAGAATACAGCCGCAATTTCTGTAGGTTCCAAGCCCCCAAAGCCCAGAGGAACGCACCTTCCAAGTAAGAAAAGCTTCCCTTTCACCCAGAAACTCCACTAGCTCTTCTGAGGTAGAATGGGCTAATTGCAAGGTGGTGATGTTTGCTTTGCCTTTTGAGCCTGTGCCTTTATGTTTTAAGTATTTAAGAGGCATAATCACCTAGTGTGTAGGTTAATTTCTTTCTGATATTGTAATTTATGCAACATTAATATGGGATGCCAGCTCCAATTTTCTTCTGCTTACGCTCCAGGAGCCGAGTTGCATATTCTGCCAACTCCATTACATCATCTAAAAACCCAAACATTTCCCATTTGCACATCACTCTCAACTACCCAGCATACTGACACAGTCTCTCCTTTTCTCCCGGGTGCGCTCTCTCTCTCTCTCTCTCTCTCTCTCTCTCTCTCACACACACACACACACACACACACACACACACACACGCACACACACACACACACCAAGATTGGCACCCCTGAGAAGTAGACGCTACATCTGAGGTCAAGGTCTGCAACTCCAAGTAATTCCTGGAAGATATTACTACTGCTGTGTTGGCTAAAGGATGCCTCCATGTCTGACCTTCCTTTTTTCCATTCAGACTGTTATGTAACCTAGTGCCTGCGTGCAGGATGTGAGTGGAGTGTCTTGGCCTTACTTCCCCCTTCCCATTAAATCTCCTCTGAGAAACAGACAGGGTTTGTGTGTGTTCGTGTGTGTGTTTAAATAATGGGGGTGGGGGCTCTAGGGGCTAAAGGGATATGGGTCAGCAGGTCATTTTTGTAATATGTACACTGCTCCTATTTTGGCTTCTTGGAGCTTTGCGGGGGGGGGGACCAAATTTCCCGGCTTTATATAATTTGCAGTAACAGCAAGTTACAGATTTGTAGTCGGTGCTGCAGCCTGCCACCCCATCTATTGCAAGAACACACCTTCTGGCAGGAATGACACCTGAAGATGTTAATAAAGCAGGGGAAGTGGGGAAGGGCTTAAAGGAAGAGGAAAGGTACAAACCAGAAATTAGAATCGCTTCCTAGATACTCTGCACCCCCTTCTTAAAAAAAAAAAAAGCCTCCGAACACATGAAGGGGATTTTCTCCAGCGTTTCTGATTAACCCTGTTACATAACCCTCTTGCATTCCAAATCTCGGGCTCTAAATAGACTCTTAGCAGCCAAAAGCTCTGCACACAAACTCGCAGAGCTGGTGACCGGTTGCGGCCGCCCCCCACCCCAAGCCTTCAACCCCCCTCTCCTTTCGTTCTTCGGTTCAAACCGAGTCTCAGCGCAGACACTCTTAGGAAATCGCCTTTAATTAAATGGTGCCCCCCCCCCCCCCAGCATATGTCATCCTGATGGCTTTTACTGTACTCGAATTCCGTGAATGGGAAAGCGCCCGGACAGGGGGTGTGGCCAAGGTGGGGCGGGGGGGGGGGGGGGAATACTGTAAAACAGCCAGCACATGATCAGCCATGTTTCTACCTCCAACTAGCATATCTGAGAGCAAGGGAGAGGCTCTCAGTCCCTCCTTTGCCTTCCCTCAGGCCCCCTAGCCGCCAAATCCTGTCTGGAGAAAACCTCTAGGTCCCAAGCCCCGCGGTGGCTTGCAGGAGCCCGCTTCCTCCGGAGTGACAGGCGTGATTTATACATTATTTACAACAGTAATTAAAGCTGCAGCTTCCTCCTGCTCTTTGCAAACTCCTGGAGCATTCAAATAAATAATCCCCCACCCCCGAAGGAGGAGGTGGGGGAAATCCCACAGCAGGTTCTGACACCTTTAAGAAAGGAGTCAGCTTTTCCTGATCAGGCCACTTTAGGGAAACGACAAGAGGGGAGCAAGCACTCTCGTCTTCCCAGGTCCCCTCCTTCACACACTCCAGACACCAACACGAAATGAACCAATGACCCGGCGAGGGCAGCCTTGTTAGCCCAGGCCCACCAGCACTCAACTCTGATCACCTCTAAGTTCCCTCAGAGACGCTGGGCATCGCGGCGAGGGGAGGATTCCCAGAGCAGAAATAAGTTTGGGTGCTTTTCTTAGCGTTCTCTCCGCGTTTGTTTGCTGTCACAGCCTCTCCCTCCGATCCCGCGTGAAGCGCCCCCACTCCACTGACGCCCTCCCTCCTTCCGCGCGCTGTACACGCCCCCCTGCCAGCCTCCTCCAGGGCTCTGGGTTGCGAACCCTTGGCTAGAAAGTTGCGCTTCTCCCCCCTCGCCGAGCCCAGCCGTGAAACTCCATAGCATCCAGCGTGCCAGGACCCCGATTCCTCTGGCTTCTGCTCCAAACCCACCTCTAGAGCTCCAGAGGAGAAACTGCCCGCGTCGCCCCCTCTTAGCCCCGGGAGCGCCCCCTTTCCGTCCCCTGAGACTTCTAGGTCTCTCACTCTTCCAGATCCCCTAAGCTTTCCTGGGAGAGGAAAGACTCGAACACCCGCCGCTACTGCTGCTGCGGGGTGGGGGGAGTGAGTATGTGAGAAACTGTCAAGAGCAGAAAAGGTAACCGTGGAAGCGAGTAGCCACAAACAGACCCCCTCCCCCTTCTTAAAAGGACACTACCGCTTTAAAAGTTTCTTTCCCCCACTCCCCCGTCTCGATTTCTTTTTGGTGGGGGGAAATCGTATTTAATTTGGACAGCTCGTCTTTGCAGAAAATAAAACACGCAATCAAGGAGATGGTGTTGAAGTCGGCTGGCTGTCAACGCTCCGGTCCGTCCCTGTTCCCCCTCGCCCTCTCCTGCAAGCCCAGCACTGGCTTGCAAAAGTTTGCAACATTTGTGGGGGGCCGCGCGGGGGGAGGGGCGGGGGTGCCGGCCGCTCAGGGCACCTCGACAGGCTCGCGCGCGCGTGCACCGGTCCCGGGGACCCTGCGTCTCGCCCACCCCCGGGGGCGCGCGCTCCCCCGGGGCGCCCGGTCCCCTCCGGGCTCGGCGCACTGCTCCCGCCGCCCCCCTGCTAGGAGCCCGGTCGCAGCGTCTCCTACCTCGGCTGGAGCTCGCGTAGCTCTGCCTGCGACCCGCGCCCGGCGCCTCGCTCTTGCGGCCCGCGTCCTGGGTCAGCGGGGTCTCTCTGGAACTGGGGGCCGCCTCCGAGCCGCTGCTGCCCGGCTCGCTGGCGGCGGGGTCGGGGGCTGCCGGAGCTGACTCCATGTTTTTTTTCCCAATGTAGAGATCGGCGGAGATGGCGAGCTCCGAGACTCCCTCTATCTTCTGTTTTCAGAGCGACTCTATGGTACCAAAAAAAAAAAAAAAAAAAAAAAAAAGGAAAAGGAGACGGGCGAGAGCAGGAGGGACCCAGCCAAGCGAGAGCGCGAGCGAGCGCGCGAGTGGCGGTGAACGTGTGCGGCCGAGAGGGGACGCGAGGCGGGTCTGGCCACAGGCAGCGCTAGCGAGAGCGTCTCCAGCCGGCCCCCGCACCCACACTCCACACCCTCCAGACCCCAGACCGGGAGCCACACAAGGCTGCCAAATTTGGGAGGTGGGGAAGAGAGAGGGAGGAGAAAGAGAGGGTGTCTCCTGCGCCCCGATCCTCCCTCTCCTCTTTAACCTGGCGACAGAAATGAACGGTCGGCGACGTGTGGTTCTGTCTACTTTTTGAGATTCCCTCGGGGGCAGTAACTCTGTGTCCCCTATGCTTAGCCAGCTTGGGAGGAGGAGACAAATCCGGTTATCCGCGTTGGGACACTTGCTGGTAACTGCAGCTCTTCTGTAAGCCTGGTCCAAGGCTGGGAAGAAACTAAAAGGGAATTAGAAACTGACTGACAGCCCCTGGAAGGAGGAAGGTGGGACGAGAAATGTGGCGCTTTTTACTTTGGGATGGGACAGCCGGGGTTTCCAGTCTTAGATATGACTGGGTCTAAAATAAATTTTGTGATTGTAGGATGCGTATGGCCAGCCAGTAACTAATGTTATGGAAAGAGGTCTCTTTCAGCTCTTTTGCAGTTTTTTTTTTTTTTCTACGTGAAGGATCTAGAAACCATTTGGCAGTTAAGAAAACCATGTTTTGTGAAACAAACTTTGGCCAGTTTGGTGAAGGATTCACTGAATCCATAAAACGGGCCTAGCTGCATCTGAACTCCGGTGTGCCTGCTGGTTTCCTAGTCCCACTGGTACTTTTGATATTAAATGCACGGGCTCATGCACAGCAGACAGACATCCTGGAGAGGTATTAATAACGTCTGAATAATAAAAAAAATCCAGATAATTAAAGAGTCTTATCTTTATAAGGCATGATTCTGTGCTTTCCTTCCCTTCCACCATCACTGCTAACTGATGCTCAAAAAAAAATCTGAGAATTAAGTCTGTGTGCCTCCACCCCAAACTCCAGTACAAAGCACCATTACTAATGGAACGGCTAGTGACTATCCCAATATGGAGAGCCGGCATTTCTGCCTCAATAAGTGAGGCCACATTTCCTTTTTATTTCCAAAGACACAAGTTAAATCAGCCCTTTTTTTTACACCCCCACCTTCCTTCCAGAGAGCCTGAAATTTTTGACAACACAAATATTATTATGTACCAGAAGGTGGCAAAAATATGTGTGCTTTAGGGGGGTGACGTTGGGGGGGGGGGAGAACTGGGGAACATTGCACTTTTGCTAATTTTTTTGGTTCTGAAAAATGCTTTTTTAAAAAAGAAAAAGATAAATCTAGAGAAATAGTTTGCACCCCCACCCCCACCTCCACCCTACTGTGCAGTTTGTTATTGCTTAGTTATTTAGATTGGATAGAAGCTCAGGGTGATCTTAGCCATGGACTGTATATTCCTCAGCCTAGCTGCGGTCCATTGGTCTGTTCTCCAGCTGATCTAGAGGGGACCTGAAGGGTTCTGCCACCTTCATCTGGGTTCTGCAAGGGTCTATGGTGTTAACCTGTCCACTGGTGCCTGTACACAGTACTATAATTGTCTCTTCTGTCTCAGATCATGTGTGACTTCCCCAGACACCACAGCAGATTTTCAGAGCAGCCTCCACTCAGAGTTTACTGTTGTTAGCCTGTTGCTGATATTCTTGCAGCAACTGACCTAGCCCGGTCACATTTGACTTTTCTAAGTAAACAAATGCTTCAAAGTACACGGCTTAATAGACAACTTCCTCTGGGACAGACAGTCTCAAAATACATCTGTTGGTTGTTTTAGAATACTGTTTTTAATTTTTTTAAAGTTTTACTTGAAGTAGAATTACATCACTCTCTGGTCCATGTCCTTACTCCAGCTCCTCCCAGTTACCTTCCCTCCCACTCCCCCAAGTTGACAGCCTCTTTTATCTTTGATTATATTTGTTGCATATATATGCATGTATGTATGCACAAATAAATAAAACCCAAGGAGTCCATTTGTGTTGTTTGTGTGTATATGGTTTCAAAGATGAGCTCTCTGCATCGGACAGCCAACAAAGGGGCTCATCCCTGGGGAAGGCTAATTCTCTTTTTCCCAGAGGTCAATAAATGGAATGCCTTCCACTTTAGTATGACCATTGATTGATATTGCTATTGTCTGGTCTTGTTCAGCCATTTCTAAGAGCCGACTTCCTGCGCTTCTGGCTCTTACAATCTTTCTGCCTCCTCTTCCACAACGTTCTCCGAGCCATAGCTACAGGAGCCGTGATGTAGGTGTGTCCACGGGGGCCGGCCTCCCCATGATCTACTGATCTCGGCCTTGTGTCCAGTTTTCTATGTAGGTTTCCAATCTCGAAGAGTAGCATTTGAGATACAGCCTGTGGTAGCTACAGTTATCTGTTGGCACAGGGATAACATTGAGAACATAGTAATGAAGTCTGCTGGTGTAGCAAAGTGGTGGCAGTAGATTCTAGTTATTCAGTTGGTGCATTTATGATTCTCCTTCAACCAACTGAAACAGGTCACTCCAGAAACATCTTCCCGAAAACAAAGGACAGGGAAGCCCTGCTGGCCTTCATCAATTAAGAAAGAAATCTCTAAGTGTGAGGCGAGACTGGGCAACATAGGGAGTTTCAGGCTAGCCAGGGCTTCATAGCTAAACCCTGTTAAAAACAAAAGGAAACCTTGAGATTGACTCCTCTTCCTTCTTAGAAGGGTCCCAGAGGGGGTGGGGGCACATTTCCTCATAACTCCACATAGATACTGCTTCTGCAATTTGAAACAATCAGAAAGTCAAGTGCTGTCCCCCAGGGGAAAAATAAAAGTGAGCTAGACATATTCTTGGCTGTCAATCATTGTTACTAAAGTGTAAATCACCTGGATGGTGGAAGCATTTGAAACCAGAAGAGCGCCATGATTGGGTTTCTATGCTTTCCTTTCCTGGTGTCCCTTTCTGATTAACTAATTAAGATTTCTAGTTTCCCAAATATTTGGAGAGACAGGAGCCTCCTTTAGACTGTGCTCACTGAGAAGGGCAACAATGTTTGCTTTCAAAGGATAGTTTTTCCTTACACTCTGTTCTCTGATGGGCTCTGGCTCAGAAGCGCTACTCTGTAGAAGAGATAAGTCTAAATCCATGTTTTGCTGTACTGTTTCTTCAACCCCTATCTCCACTGAGGAGTCCAGGAACCACCTCACCAATCACAGGCTCTCCTCCCAATGGAGACAGTGCTTTCCTCTGTGCTAAGGTAGCTCCAGAAAACCTCAGAGTTGGTTTAGTGTTCTCTCACACACCAGTCTGTAACTGGCCACATCCGAATGTGTCTGCTAGGTTCTTTCAGCTCCTGGCCCTGGCATCTGCACCTCCTTTTCACTGTAATTCATTCCGTATTTGACATTATTACTCCGCCAAACCTTCAGAGTAACCTTCCCCAGTAACCGGCCTCTAGTCTTTTAACCACTGGAATCCATTCATTCTTGATAGCACTGCCAAGTTAATTACCCTGAACTACAAGCTCTCATTTCCCACCGTGTCACTCCCATGCTTACAAGACTTTAATGGCTCCCCGTTGCCTATCCAATTAGCTACTAACTAGTCAACAAGGTATTCACAGCTCTACCTCACTTCTCTCGGCACTCCTACACCAAGGATGGAAAGCAGATCCCATCTCAGGTTGGCTGGGAAGGTGTGGGCTGGGATTGACGAATGCTGTCTCCCATGGGCGGAAGGATAGGAAGTGTGACATGCTTGCGAATTTGAGTTTGCCAACTACCTTATATAATCCCTACAAGGCAGGTTAAGTCTTCAAGCCAGGGTGGGCACTGTTGCCTCCTTCTACCTCCTTAGTGTGTCCAGATTGCATGCCCGTTTTCTCTGAGCGCCTTCCCACGTTTCTCTATTTCCTTTCAAGCTCCAGGTGTGTGCCAATATTTGCCCTGTCTTGGTACTTCTTCGGATCTGTTCCTACAGTGTCTCTTGGAGTCCAAGCTGGCCATAGACTCGAGAATGACCTTGAAATTCTGATCCTCCTGCCTCCACCTCCTAGGATGACTGCTGTTCACCACCATGTCTGATTTATGTAGAGTTATGCATTGAACCCAGGAATTCCTCCATACCAGCCAAGTTCTCTGCCAACTGAACCATATCCCCAGCTATACCCCCGCTTTGTTGTCGTTATACTTTTAAATGAATATTTAAAAATGTGGCCCCCAGAAAAGGTCCTTATGTTTTTAAATAAATGTTTTATAATGACAGTTTTATACGTCTTAATCAGACCCATTCTCACTCTTCTCTCCCATGAACTCCCCAGAGTCTGCTTCCCAACAAGTTTGCCTCCAACCTTCATGCCCTCTTCTTCCTTTAACAACTCACTGATGCCAGTTAGTGCCTCCCACGCGTGCATGGACATGGAGCCATCCACCAAAACATGGGCAACCTACCAGTAGCCACACCCCTGAAGATACACCTTACTCCTCCTCAGTAGCCATCAATTGCCAATAGCACCTCAGTTAGGGGAGGGGTTCAGAAAGCTCCATTAATGGGGAACTTCATTACAGCACCCAGGCTGAGTGTGAGTCGGCTCGATCTTGGACTAGTAACCATAGCTACTATGAACTCATAAGTTCAATAGCCAGGTCAAGTCCAGAAGACAGCATTACATGGCTCTCTTCCCCATCTTCCAGCTCTCACATTCTTCCCACCCCATCTTCCATGGTGTTTCCTCAGCCTTGGGGCTCCCTAGTCACAGTACCCAGCTGAACCCCTTAAGACTTTAAATATGTTGCTTCTAGGTGTGCCAGGATTGTCTGAACATTTATCTTCCCTGGTAGATGATAACAGTTCTTG